TCCGACTACATCTAACACTATTCAACCACTCACTATTCCAAGTGTTGCTTCTTCCTATCACAACACACTTACTGACTACACTAAACACTGTTGTTTATATTTAAGAAAATAATAACTGATATAATACATACTATTCAAATTAATGTGTCAATTTCAATTAACTAGGAATAACAAAAACAAAAACAACCCATTGCATATAGTCACCATATTCGATTAACGAAAAGTGAAGTCCCACTAATAAAAAAAATCAAAAACAGTGATGAAAAGATAAGATACATGTCCGAAAAGCACTAGCGCATCCATTCCTCAATATTCAATATGTGTGCAATGACTACGATTTCCAATCAATCTCCGTCCATTCACTCACTTCATTTTCCGTATAACAGAATAATATTCACTGACAATTTCATTTCAAACTATACATTTCACTTGATTTACCATTTCCATCACATCACTTGCGATGGTGATATATTCATATTGAAGTGTCAATACAAGACAGCTTGAAATGATTCCAATCAGATCTCTAGGGAACACCCAACCAATAAATTAACGAAAATAATGCTTGCAAGTGATCAGTTTTCGGGCTTTACTGAACACACTGACGAACACCATTATTAGTCGGTCTTCCACCATATTCAAATGTCTTTTCGAAAATTCATCAATCACTTCAATAAAACGAAAGAAATCGAGAACGATTGGTAATCATTCGAACTATTTACGAAAATCCGCTGTTATATAAAACAAAACAAACATCATTTATTAACTAAGTAGTCAGTCTTCAAAATACGAAAATAATCAATTATGCTTAATATGCAGTAGTGGTGAACTATAAGGAAACTTAATGAGCAGACCCGAATTCCATAGGTTAATGAATGACTTATCAAGCTCATATCTAACAACCATCTATTTCTTAAACGAATTGAAATTAGTGGCTATCTGGACTTGTAGTTTATTGGGCTATGTGTTTCTGTCTGAGGTGAAAGATACTTGGGTACGACTATTTTAATTAAGGATTATTGGGAAGAAAAACGAATGTAGCAAAGCATACTCGCACTAATACACATGTAAACAGAGGGTAACGTTTGAACAAATTCAAAATAATGAACATTTTTCACCTAGGTATATTTCTAATACAAAAATTAATGAAAAATATGAAACTATAAATGAATTCAATAGTTAGATAAACCAAAGAGTAAAAGCAAAGATAAATATTAAAAACTCACTTCAGTAAATTGTATATTTTCAAAAAACTGATGAATTAAGCATATCAAATGACCTTGTTGTTTCCCATAATAAAATATAACATACAAAAATTGCATAATAAGATTTTGTATTTCACATCGTAATGTTTCCAAACGGACCGAATTATAATTCACAGTAGATTTATAACCAACAATGTTTGATTGAATTCTACAAAATGTACATATACAAATTTGCGATTTTGAATTTTTAAAATTTCTAACTTAGCTAATTAGTTATTAATAGTTTTAAAAAGGGACAGTTATTTACTTCAGACAATGAATGAAGGGTTGCATAAGATCATGGATTTATTGATGTTAGACAATAACACTGTTGGATGTTGACTCAACGGTCTAGAGTTCGCGTACGAGACCGAAGGTCCTAGGTTCAAGTCCCGCATGGGTGATCGATGGTGCGCACTGCTTAGAAGTCCCATACTAGGGTGAAACGGCAGTTAGTCTAACTTAGGTCGACTCATGAACTCAATTATTAAATTACTACAATCTCCACAAACCTCCATTCTGAAAATATGATTAGCTTAATAATACCGCCATATACCTATATGAAAGAATTAAATTCGATTCAACATAAGAGTATAAATTAAAATTACTGACAAGTTTGCCATTGGAATGGAGGAGAAACAATTGTCTGATATTTAGAAATTCCTAGTGTTTCTGTGGTGTATGCTACTCATTCTGACAGATATAAGTAGCATGTCACACTAATCAAAAGTCGAATGCCTATCAGTATAAGATTGAGAAAATTGAATTAAAGAGTACAGGAAGTGAAATAGAGAGTAACTGGAATAAGAACAGAATTATACGAATCATGAAATATATAAGGGACAATTGAAAGATGTGTAATTTAATGCATGGTTTTCATATTTTTCAAAGATACTCTCATTCTGCATTAAATAATAATTTAATTTTCCCCCATCTAAGGTCTCATTCACTACAGTTTCTCTACAAGGTTTATGTCAGTGCTCAGTGTGAAGTTGAATTTTTATATACTTAAAAATGTACTGAAACAACCTGACTGTAATCAAAAGAAACTAATTTTTGTAAAAAAAATTAGTCATAGTAACAACATTTAAAACTTACATTTTTAATAAATCCAACACAAATCCTTGTTCCGTTTGTTTTGTAACATATTGAATATGTACAGGACTAAATAGTAAAATATTAATTTGAATAAATAGAAGAAAAGAAAAAAAACTTATTGCATAATATTTAGAAAAAAAATTATTAGCAGATAGGGGTTTGTGGAGATTTTATAAATTTCACAGACTGAAATCATGAGTCAATTGAAGCTAGACCACTATGGAAAACCTGGAAGCACTGGACGGCCTTTTCGTCCTAGTATGGGACTCCTCAGCAGTGCGCATCCACGATCCCACACCCCGCGAGACTCGAACTCACGACCTATCAGTCTCGCGCTAAGCGCTTAACCAACTAGACCACTGAGCCGGCATCCAATGGTGTTAATGTCTAACTTCAATCAATCCACGAAGTTGAACCACCGTATACCATTGTCTTCAGTGAGCTGATATCTCACAACAGACGTGGTTGAACATTAACACCATTGATGCCGGCTCAGTTGTCTAATTGGTTAAGCGCTTGGTGCGAGACTGATAGGCCCTGGGTTCGAGTCTCGCGGGGTGCGGGCTCGTGGATGCGCACTGCTGAGTCCCATATGGGAACGAAACAGCCGTCCAGTTCTTCCAGGTTTTTCACAGTGGCCTAGCTTCAATTGACTCATGATTTCAATCTGAGAAAATTATTACCATTCTAAATGATAAACGAAGTTAGTAGTGACTTATGTCAAGTAGAAATGTAAGCAGATTATATGATATTTCTAGATCGTACAAGTAAACAAAGATCCAAGTTTGTATGTTAAGTTATCTATGAGTAGGTGAGTTATGAATCCAGTCAGTGTCAATCTTGATATTTTTTTTGCAAACCTGGCAATCAATAAATACTCATGAATTGAACAAACTGACATTTAACTTCTGAAGAGAAAGCTTCATTTTTTTATTCCCCTCATCTTATTCAGCATTGTTAGGGTCAGTAACATGAGTAAGGTATCTCTATCGACAACATCTAGGACCACCATTTAAACATTGCATACATTCTAAACACCGAATATTTGTTTATTTTTCATCCTTCTGGCTTAATAATATAAATCGTATTAAGTGTTAGCAATATTTTAAAATACATCCCAGTGACATGACTTATGATAGGATAAAGAAAACCCATATTATTGAAACAATAGAAATGTTTAACTCGGGTGAATGTTTTAGCATGATTGTGTTCTCTGAGTTAGATGACTTAATTGTAAAGTTTCTGCATCAAGTAGCCACTGATGATATTATCCATAATGCTAATAATAACCTTAGCAATTAAACCATATAACTTAGAGAATACGACACCACTAAAACCCATATTAATATTACTCACACTTTCTTATTATTTACTAACAGTAATCAATATACATCATAGCAACAATAAATTTTATACAAACACAAATGCCACATACAAAAAAAGACAAATGGATAAAATATACACACTAATTATTCTTACTAGTCTGTAATTATTTTTAATAATAACTTCATTTCATTTAGTAGACACTCTAAATTAGTTTCTTTCCTACAATGTTCAATTATCTAAAAATGGAAATTTATTAAATAAAACTGAATACATAAGAAACAAAAATAAATTAAAACAAAAGGATATTCATAATCAATTTTTTTCGTAGGGGGAGGGAGGGAACATAATTATTGATGATGGTTGTTATTTTATTGAGATTAAATTTTACAGATTAGATTGATTTAAGGCTCAGAATGAACAACCTTATTATTATTATTATTATTATTATTATTATTATTATTATTATTATTATTATTATTATTATTATTATTATTATTATTGACAGAAAGTGAAATATTATTATTGTTTCAATGAGAAATGAATATAAAATCTCTGTAAATGATATTCAATAAGACCGGGGATTTAGAGAAACTATGTGGATGATAAATGAATGACACCAGTCTAATGTTGTAATTGGTAGTTCACAGTGTTTTAGATAAGTAGATAGATAGACAGATAAGTAGACGGACATTTAGGCTACTGAATAGACAAACGAATAATGAACAGGTGTCTTTTTTGTCCATTTTTCAATATAGTCAATAATTAATTGAATAGCTGTCATATCACATGTAATATATGTGATTCGTACGATTTTGCACACTCACATACACACACATACATACGTACATGGATGTAATTCCGGAAATTAATATTGATCTGTTATTATTAAGAAAAAGAACTGAATTATTAGTAAATGATTTAAGATGAATAGCAATAAATTGTACAAGTTTATCTTATTAATTCTTAGTGGTTCTGTGGTGCATGCTACTTATGCTGACAGATATAAGTAGTATGTACCATCGGAGTGAACATCAACTCTAGGGTGCAGGTACATTCAGCTGAGGTGTTCTAAATAGGATGAATTCCACTGCCAGCTACTATTCATCTTTCATTATTTATCATCTTGTACTGTTTAACTAGAAATTATTACAATATAATTTCTAAAGCCCAAGTTTCTTTTCCATCGACTCAAACGGGCCTTTCAATCATGTGATACCATTTGATTCTGTTATACGTTGACGATCTCATGAAGTGAGAAGACATAATGATAAGAAAATATTTAAAAAAATATTTTAAGTAAACTATAGAACACCTATTAATACGAATTTTCAAGAGTTAATGGGATTAGATACTCTATTAATGATTCGGGCAGCATCCAAGCAGTTAGAGTTTGTATTAAAAACTTTGGTATTTTATTCCACTTAAATAACTTAACACAATTCGAATTTGATATCATTTGCGAATCTGTTTGGAAAAAAAATTATTCGTTATGATACCAGCAATCTTGAAGAATTTCAACAAGATTTATTATGAAACTATAAAAACTAATTGAATCTCATGGAAACCACTAAGACTGAAAGATGTTTGTGTTAAACAGATGGTGTTATGGCCATCTGAATATACTTAGTTTATGAAATAATTATAAGGTAAAACCTAATAAAGAAGCATTTACGTGAGCATGTAATGTTTTGAATATTGATAAATATAAAACCTTTCTTCCTAGAGCTGTGATTTAATCGAGATATAGCTGGTGATGTGCTACGGGACAGACAGACAGACTAGAGCAAAGAAGAGAACATTTAATGCAGCTAACTAACTTCTATAGTTCTCAACCCGATCTATGGTGAATGCTTAACTAAAGGATAAGTTGCCTGGTCGTGCCAAATCTATATGTATCTACAAGTTCAGCTGCTCCTGTGGAGAAAGCTATATTAGATGCACTAGCAGACAAATGAACGAAGGAGTTAGTGAACACCTCCATTCGTGGCTAGAAAGAAGTACCGTCAAAGTAATACGCAGATCTGTTTCTATGACACTTGATCGGTAACGGTCATGTAGTAGTTAAAAGTAGATCATTTAAAGTGATGTGTCATACTCTTACTAGTTTTCCTTATGGGGTTCGACCTCCTCTCTTACACGTAGCAGAAGCCATATGAATTCGAGCTAACGACCCAAGTCTCTGTATTTACAAGAAATCTGTAACATCTTTATTTCTTCCTTGGTCGAATCAGCCTTGATAAAAGATTTCATTTACTATTATTATTCCATACTCTCTTCGTTAATTTTCCTTGACCCCCTCCCATCTACTTTTCCCAAAATATACGCTCCATTTTTCAATTGTCTGAATAGTTCTTATTACATAATCTTAGTTTTTATGAATGTTATTCCAACATCCATATTTTTCACACCGTTGACTTAATTCCATTATGAAACATTGATTCAAGCGTTGATTGTTTTTATCACAATTAGTACACTATCGTCTCATCATCAATTTATACTTTTTACTTATTATGTTTATTTATGTAATCATTTCGATTGTTATCACTGACTCATAAACTGCCTTGATTAGTTTAATGATTTCGTAAATGCATATAAATATTACTGTATATTGGAGTAAAGCCTGATGATGATCTAATCGAAAACAATGTCATTCACTTATATATGTTGTTTTAATTTCATATTACACAACTGAAAATTCACTAAGAGTTGTCAATTACTTGGGATATCACATAATAAGCAAATAAATATAAATAATATAAATATAACATACACATCAATACAGAATCACTGAATCATATTTACATGAAAGAGTGTTTATAATGAATACATCATTGGCAGACAAAGTATGCCTTAGCGGTTATTTCTACGGAATTGAAATAAATACACTAAGTTACACTTGGAACATTACATTGAAGGAATGTGGGTTATTGAAGAATAAGATTATATTGAGTGATGTGAGAAACGATGTCAGAAAACTGATACTTTCCAACTCCCAACACTAATTATTTATTATTATACCATCCATCCGTTCACAGAATGGTCAAAATCGCACGATACCGTAAACGAAACTATTACTACTGATGAATCCAAATAAAAAGAACACAAACAAAGTCGATTGCTTTCAGAATTTAATGATACCGGGTTTTAAATTTACAGTTATCTAATTTTCATAACAAACATAGTACAACCCTAAGATGTAAATATTAAATTGAGTGTACAACTTAACTGAATTAATGAAGATAAGTATACTCTTTAAATCAATTCAAAATAATGCTAATCATTAAGAAAAATATTATCACTATAAACAATAATTAACTTAAGCATATAAAAATCAATCAAATAAGTAAATCACAAACTAACCACAGATAAAAATTCATTAGATACTAATTGCCAACTGAAAAACTCTTCTATTCCATAAACATTCTTCATTGGTAGAATTGTTGATGAGTACTGGATTTGGTTAATATTTTCATCTTGTTGAATTAACATTTCTTCAGATAAATACTTTTTTGAATCATTATTTTCTTGTGTAAAACAAACTTCATTAGGATATAACTTCATATTATTGTTATTATTATTATTATCGTTACTCAGAGCATTATTACTAATAGTAAATCGATTAGTTATAGCATAATTGGATAATTCAATTAGACAGGATAAGAGATATGACCAAATTTCATCATGAAACTTTTTATCCAGTTTGCTGTTTAGAAAAGAACATCAAATACAATAATTAATAATAATAATAATAATAATAATAATAATAATAATAATAATAATAATAATAATGTAACATTGGAATGATTATTATTAAATCAGTCTCATAACCATAAGGGTAATGATTAAGTAATTTTATAATCATCGAAAAAATCAAAACTATAACACCATAGATGGTAATAGTCATCATTTTGAACATTATATCAACTCGGTGATTACAATAATAGTTAAATTTAATGCATATTAACAATATACTGATGTAATCAAATTGTGATGTTGTCATTAATTTTTAAAATCGTAATTATTAACCAGTTATCTGGGTTTTTTTCTAGATATAATATTGATATATCTAACAGTCAAATACACGACATTAAGGTTCTAACCACTTCCTAGTCACTCAGAAATCTTCTACGAATAAAAACTCTTTCTACTTCCAAGTTAGAGTAGGTATAGAAAACAAGGATATTTATAGAATTACGTATGGCCTTGATAATATTGAGGATTTTCGAGACATAACAAAATTCATTTTGTATTGTTTGTTCGAGTCTTCCTATTGATGTTTAAGACTGTAATTCATCAGTCTCTCATTTACATATATGCATCCTGTACGGATTGAATCGATATGACGAAATTATTAGCAAAATTTACGATCATCAAATGACGACATGATACATTATTCACTACTTTTAAAAAACTTCCTGAAGAAGTCCAGACAAGTCAGCTGGATAAAACGTTGTAATTATTCAAATTTCAATCGCTGAGATTATTTCAAATATAGTTTTCACATATAATAGCTTTCTGAGTAGTTCCAAAGACATTTCATAAGAAGTTGTAATAGCTTTACACGTAGATAATCATTTGTAACCAAACATGAACATGATTTAAGGATGAAATCCCTGAATTCACGCGTTATGAGCAATCCAACACTACAAACTAAGCTTTTATGAAAATCTGTTATGTTATCATATCTTAGTGGTGTTGATTAATTCAAGTTAACATAAAAATTTTCTATTGATTCATGAGTCGGTTTAAATCAGTTAAAGACGGAACATTTTTAATCAAATAGCTGTAAGTAAATTATTACTTGGATTGAAAGGTAAGTTATTTTTTACTCTTATATATTAGAAAGAGCCTTGGACTCATGACATTAAAGCAGTTTTACGGACTTTCGTAAAAATGTACAACAGATCGTGGCTGCGCGTCGCTGAGGAGTTCTGTATTAGAACGAAACGGCCGTCCAGAGCTTTCGGGTTTCTAATGATGGTCTAGAATAATTCGGTTAATGATTTTAATTAAAACTCAACAATCTGCACGACCATAGACTGATAAATATTAATAAAGTCTACTAGCCCCCGAACGCCCTGATACGGCCGAGAGTGGGGAGAGTCCGCTCTCCCTCTCGAAATACTCTCACAGCCTCTGCCAGGGAAGTCCTACTCATTGCCTTCTCGTGGCGGGGGTGTTGTTTACGAAAATGAGAGGACGAAAAGCGAACGTCCGGCGCTTTAACCGGATCACAAACCAATGGTGCACATGGGCTCCAGTATCCTGCGGGAACAAATGGCGTATGAACCAATCGTTGGTCACCGGCTACCATGAGATTGCATCTCCTTACGATGCTTCACTGCTTTGTGGGTTAGACCATTAGGTCAAAGGCTCGGGGTGTGGCCCCCTAAGATAACCACCTGCTTCGGTTTGGGCACCCGGACAGTATCACAGCCCACACACAAACGATGAACTCTATGACTTTTTCTCGCTCCCAAAGATTAACATTCGTAAACATTTTCAATAAATAACATTAACTACTTATATGTTAAAAAGTAGTTTACAAAAATATTCAAATCTATTTCCCTTGGGTTTGCTTAAATAAATAACGTTACAGGGAATGCATGATCACATTTTTATTTACTTACAAAATAAAAGACTGAAAACGCTAATAATACAATTTTAGCAGTCAATATATATATATATATATATATATATATATATATATATATATGCATGTGAAACTTACTCAATGCATTCAACAAGTTGGAAGAGTTTACAATGACCTTCACATTTAACAAAATCTCTGTTAAATTGTTTACATTGCAAAACAATGGCTAATTCCATCAGTAATTGCTTAACTGGTCCATACAAATGATGTAATGGGTTACAACTACTATTCACAAATGTATTAGTAGTAGTATTCCTATTATCAACTAAACAATCCAATGCTTGATCCAAATTTGAAATAAACTTCTCCACAGCTCTACTCTATTTAAGTAAATAGACACATAAACATGATTAAACATTTATCAAATGTTAAATACAACGATATCAAGAAATAGTATTGAAATTTTCCGAAATCAATAGAGTTTAATAAACATTAGGTGATTTCTTTGTATTTTTTTTTAAACACAATGGACCTGAGATTAAAATGTGAGTGACTTTATCATGTGTATATTTAATTAGAAATCAAGACAACTTCACTAGACCGAATATATATAAACTCGTACTAATGTTTCTTGTTAAATTTACACAGATACATTTGTCTAATTTGGTTTGAGCTGTATATAACAACAATAATTCAATAACTTACTGTGTGAACACCATATTATACAATTGAACACCTATAATCCTTTTTAAAATGTGAATACATGATAAACAAGATTGTAAAAGATCAATTTCATATGCAATCCGAAATCCAATCGACTAGGCTATTACTCGTCAAATCGGAGGTAATTTAGTGAAGCTTTTTTAAATTGATATGTTATATTCACTACAAATTACCATTCAAAACCAAAGAACACTAGATATCTTTAATTTCCTTAAAGATGTTAGTTAAGTTCTAATGATCAGTTGCAAGTGGTAAAGTTCACACACGACGAGTGTAACAGTTGCTATTAATAGCACTGGACAATAGTCGTGCTACATCGCAAGTTGATTAAAGTTAAAACTATACCATTAGATCCTGACCCAGATGTTATAACGGTTAAGCGTTCGCTGCAATGCCTGAAGTTCCTGTATCTTTTACCTGATTGAGTCGTGAGTTCACATTGCTAGAGTCCTACACGAGAGTGAAACGGTTATCCAGTGCTCACTGGTTGCCAATCGTACCCTTTGAATAATACAAGCTACAAATTAAACTAACTACATACAATATTTATAACTTTAGACGTTCGAAATATGTAAAACGTTTGGTAGGAGCATAATAAAAAATCTGATTAGTTTAAATAAAACAAAACACATAAACCACTTTTGGTGATAATAAAAAACTCAAAAAGGAATGCCAAATAAAGAAGAATTATTCAAATATCTTCAGCATAATGTTATATCACATGAGAAATCACTGTAAAAATGAAGAGCTTTAGAGTTGTTTTGTTCTACACTTCCTGAACCCGTAAGAAGTAGGCCTCGCATTGATCAAATTCATGATCGATTTAGAGAAATTCGGGTCTGACGACAACGGCTTTAATTTAAGAAAGTTTAGCGGGATTTGAGCGATTAACATTTTTGTATTCGGTCGATTTGCAATGAAGAATGGTTATTATCAAATGTAGCTATTAATACTCAACATTACTTAAAAATCTGTAGTCAGACAGTCGAATAGTCAGTTCAAAATACCTAACGGGTATTAGCACATACATATATAATCCTAAGTATGACTGAAAAACCAGTTTGTCACTTCCAGAAAAATGACAATGTAAGCATACATCCTATGAAGCTAAGATTGCCACTTTAATTAAAGTAATCTATCCATGCACACATACATAACATGACTGAGGTGAAAAGGGGAATGAAATTAAGTAAACTTCGGGTATCAGTCATAAGGTATATATATGAATACATTAATAATGCAAAATAAAGGAAAAAATATACAACCGATACAATCTAAATAATGGAAAACATCCCGTTATTCTTTTCTATTGTTAAAGGATGATGAGCTATCAGAATATCATTTCAAAAAATTAAATACAAAAATAATTATGTTTGGTGTTTGGAGGCAATCAGTAGGAAACGTTGAACCTAAGTTTCGTGTTAGTCGGTAATTGTCTGGACGTCGTAACTTCCATCTTGATCGACAGGATCTAATTAACATTAAGGACTAGGCAAACATGATACTTATCAGAACTCAGAGATTATTAAATTTCTCAGTCCTGCAGGAGGTCGGTTTCTAACCAAATCGCTAATTAACGTCTCAAACAGTCGAAGTGGGTCATGTGGTTTTGAACCCTAGAGGGATTTTCAGTTCCATGAATATCGAAGGTCTTTTATAAAGACGAGTACCAACCAGGAAGAAATTCATTCGCAGGGTTTCTTATCGACTCCCTACAACCACCTAACATATCAATAAAATGTAAGGGAATGTCAGATCACTTACACAAGTAGCCACTACAAACTCACAATAAACAAAAGATAAGGATTCATTAAATTTTAGTCAATCTACACAATCCTCAGCTTCATTCTACTAAGTACTTGCATAATACGGTCATTGAATATATGAATGCAACCAAGTTATAGATATTAAGTCATCAACCTTTTCCAAACATTCCTAATATGTAGTGGAACCCATAAGTAGGTTAATAAAATTCAGACTACACACACGGTACTAAATAATAAATAAATAAACAAAATACATAATAATCCGTGTCGCATAGAGACAGGTATCTACTTCAGTATAATGGAAGATGGTCGCGCGATTTCGTGGATTGGTTGAAGTTAGACATTAACACCATTGGATGCCGGCTCAGCTGTTTAGTAGGTTAAGCGTTCGCGCGCGAGAGTGAAGGCCCCGGGGTTGAAATCCTGCGAGCAGGATCGTGGATGCGCACCGCTGAGAAGTCCCACAATAGGACGAACCGGCCGTCCAGTGCTTCTAGGTTTTCAATGGTGGTCTAACATCAATCGATTTATGATCTCAATAAAAAACTTAATAATCTCCACAACCCCTATACTGATAAATGATATAAACCAATTGGTAAAATTAGGTATCCTTTTGATAAAAGGTAGTGTAGAAGAGTTATACACACAAGAGCTATACAAAATAACGCAGTGACAGTTTAGGAAAAAGGTTATAAATTTTTAAGATATGGTTAGAGAATAATGTAATTGACAAGTGATGAAAAAATGTGCCAAAACTTTAGGGCTCCTGGTTAAAAGTTCTCACAATCTCAATTCGTATAATTATACCAAACATAAAAAGTAACCAGCTTGTAGTTTGTAAAGTTACAAATTTGATCTTATCCTCACAAAGAGATGCGATATGATCGCGTTTCTTATCAGAACAGAAAGAAAAAATATGCTGTTTATGTGCAGCATACGAGAATGAAATAATTGTTCATTGCCTTGGAATCCACGTTGAATACTTCAAACAATTCAGTGAACCTACAACTTTGAGCCAGTTAAAATTCATTCACCAGGTATATTTATTATCTTGAGTAAATTGGTGATTAGGCACAGTGTAAACGTCAGAGATGGCTAAGATGAACTATTTCTAGTTTCTATGCATTTATAAAGTCACACTAATCAGTATAAAACAATTTTCAAATTAATCAAAATCAAATTCAATTCAAAATATAGTTATCATCTTCCTTCCATTTTAAATCTGACCAATAAATGTCAAACAGTTCAATTCAAATAAGAATTGTGACACTGCTCCACCACTTAATAACCACACAGAAGGTCAGTGGCTCTTAAATGTCTAACTAACTAACTAACTAACTAACTAACTAACTAACTAACTAACTAACTAACTAACTAACTAACTAACTAACTAACTAACTAACTAACTAACTAACTAACTAACTAACTAACTAACTAACTAACTAACTAACTAACTAACTAACTAACTAACTAACTAACTAACTAACTAACTAACTAACTAACTAACTAACTAACTAACTAACTAACTAACTAACTAACTAACTAACTAACTAACTAACTAACTAACTAACTAACTAACTAACTAACTAACTAACTAACTAACTAACTAACTAACTAACTAACTAACTAACTAACTAACTAACTAACTAACTAACTAACTAACTAACTAACTAACTAACTAACTAACTAACTAACTAACTAACTAACTAACTAACTAACTAACTAACTAACTAACTAACTAACTAACTAACTAACTAACTAACTAACTAACTAACTAACTAACTAACTAACTAACTAACTAACTAACTAACTAACTAACTAACTAACTAACTAACTAACTAACTAACTAACTAACTAACTAACTAACTAACTAACTAACTAACTAACTAACTAACTAACTAACTAACTAACTAACTAACTAACTAACTAACTAACTAACTAACTAACTAACTAACTAAACTAACTAACTAACTAACTAACTAACTAACTAACTAACTAACTAACTAACTAACTAACTAACTAACTAACTAACTAACTAACTAACTAACTAACTAACTAACTAACTAACTAACTAACTAACTAACTAACTAACTAACTAACTAACTAACTAACTAACTAACTAACTAACTAACTAACTAACTAACTAACTAACTAACTAACTAACTAACTAACTAACTAACTAACTAACTAACTAACTAACTAACTAACTAACTAACTAACTAACTAACTAACTAACTAACTAACTAACTAACTAACTAACTAACTAACTAACTAACTAACTAACTAACTAACTAACTAACTAACTAACTAACTAACTAACTAACTAACTAACTAACTAACTAACTAACTAACTAACTAACTAACTAACTAACTAACTAACTAACTAACTAACTAACTAACTAACTAACTAACTAACTAACTAACTAACTAACTAACTAACTAACTAACTAACTAACTAACTAACTAACTAACTAACTAACTAACTAACTAACTAACTAACTAACTAACTAACTAACTAACTAACTAACTAACTAACTAACTAACTAAACTAAACTAACTAACTAACTAACTAAACTAACTAACTAACTAACTAACTAACTAACTAACTGACTAACTAACTTCAATATCACTTACACAAATATACACACATTTATAGATTCTTCACAAACAATAAATCACATATTATCCTACATTTGTCACAAATATACGCAACATTAACCAAATTCATTCGACACACAAATCAATCAATAGCTTTATAGAAATTCAACTTTTCGGTCCACTGAAAGGAAGTTATCTAATCATGGGACGATTTTGTCGAGAAAGAAATTTAGATTCAACTAAATTCCCCATTGTGTTTCCGACTACATCTAACACTATTCAACCACTCACTA